AGCACAAAGCATGAAGGTTGTGGCTTAGCAATCAATTATACTACTTCCATCATTTTTAGTTTCTTTTCAATAACCTATTGTTCTAAACATATTACTGAGTTTTGAAATTATCTGAAGTGTGTCAATCATTTGCTTCAATGGTTGCAACGATCTATTTTGGTTCAATTTACGCACACATAGGAAATGCAATAAGCAAAAGCTAGCAGAATATAAACTACAAATCAATGATGGATCTGATAATCAAATTAAGACCAATCACGAATACCAAATTAGATGAAAAAACAATTAGCGAAAAATTATGACCTTTGTTTATGCGTGAATAGAGTTTGAAAAGTTCTCAAGATTCGTTCTTCTCGAAGCAGTAAGAGTGTGGTGAAGAAATGTTGAGGAAGAAATGACCAAACCTTTAAAAATGTGTGATATATTCGAGAAAACATGTGAAATGACCATTTTGTCAAATCTTTTGAACAGATTGGAACGTATTAATGAAAATCTTAATTTGATTAGGCTGTATTTTGATCTCCGTTAAAACCGATACATTTATTATTAGTTTAGAAATAGTTTTTAAGAGTAGTATATGAGTTGTTTTCTATAAAATCTAAAAAAAAAATTGTTTTAGATTTTTTTATGAACAAAAATTTAAAATCAACCATTAAATGAAGTTAAATGAAAAACCACCTTCATAGATTTTTCACAATGCTTTCTTCGATTGTAACTCCAGTAATCTGGAATATTATTTTCATAGTAATAAATAGAATCCATGAAATATACATATAGTTGGATTGGGCAGTATTCGTATCAAGATACATGATGGCATTGTGAGAACACTTACTAATGTTAGGCATGTCTCTGATTTGAAAAAGAAACTCATCTCTTTGGGCACACTTGGGGCACTTGATTGCAGATACACGAGTCAAAACGGTGTTTTGAATATTTCAAAGGTGCTCTCCTTATTATGAAAGGTATCCAATTTGGGAGCTTGTATACCTTGCAAAGGATGACTGTTTCTGGGCATGCAGTTGTTTCATCATCTTCCTTGGCTGAACCTGATATCACCAAGTTATGGCATATGCATTTTGGGCATATGAAGGAAAAAAACTTGGGAATCTTAAGTATAAGAGGACTTCTTTGTCAAAAAAGTATTGGATCGTTAGATTTTTGCAACCGCATATATTTGGAAAGCAGAAAAGAGTGAGTTTTAAGTCACCAGCAGTTGACAAGATAAAAGATACACTTGAGTATATCCTCTCTGATCTTTGGGGTCCATCTCGTGTTTCATCTAAAGATGGTGCCATATATATGCTGACTTTTATTGATAACTACTCAAGAAAGGTTTGGGGATATTTATTGAAAAATTAGAATGATATTTTTCTAACTTTCAAATAGTGGAAAATTTTGATTTAAAAGCAAACAAGAAAACAAATCAAGCGGTTGAGAACCGATGACAACTTGGAATTTTACAGAGGGAAGTTCATTGAGTTTTGCAAGAAAGAAGTAATCGTTCGGCATCATACAATAAAGATAACACCTCAACAGAATGGCGTGGTTGAACGTGTGAACGAAACGCTCTTAGAAAGGGCAATATGTATGATCTTCAATGCAGGATTGACTAAGGATTTTTGGGCTGAAGCAATCAATATGGCTTCCTACATTATCAATCGCTCTCCAAATTCTACTCTCAACTTCATAACTCCTGAAGAAGTTAGGTCAGATACTCTTTTTTATTATTCTAATTCAAATATTTTTGGGTGTTTACCATATATGCATATAAATGAAGGAAAATTGGAGCCTAGGGCTAAGAAATGTATTTTCCTTTGTTATGCTTCTGGAGTGAAATGATATATATTTTGTTGTCCTGATCTCAAATCTCCAAAATTTGCAATCAATAGAAATGTTACATTTGATGAAATGGCTATGTTGTCTCACAAGGAGTCTTTGAGTTCAAGTATGAATACACAGAAGCAGGTGAAGTTCGAAATCAGTTGTTCTAGCACCCCTCAGCTAGACTCTTCTATTCAACATACATCAGTTGATATTGAAAGTTCAAAATAAGAGCCATATTCCATAGCCACTGGAAGATAGTGGAGAGACACTCGACCTCTACAACAGTATACAGACTTTGTCGCATATGCATTGTCTGTTGCAGAAGAAATAGGTGGAGACAGTGAGGCATCCACATATTCAGACCTAATTCAAATTGATGATTTTGTTAAGTGGATAGTGGCAATGAATGAAGAACTTGAGTCTGTCCATAAGAATAATACTGGGTTCTTGTAAAACCACCGTCAGATAAGAGAACTATTAAAAGAAAATGGGTTTTCAAGAAAAAAGAAGGTATTCCAGGAGGTTATAAAGTTAGATATAAAGCACAATTTGTTGCAAAGGAATATAGTCATGTGCAAGGTATTTATTTTAATGATGTTTTTTCACTTGTTTTCAAACATAGCTCTATTTGTGTTTTACTTGCTTTGATTTCCATTGAGGATTTGGTGTTAGAACAGATGGATGTTAAGAAAACCTTTCTACATGAAGAACTTGAAGAAAATATTTACATAAAGCAACCTCAGGGTTTTGAAATCAAAGGAAATGAACACTATATCTGTTTATTGAAGAAATCCTTATATTGACTGAAGCAGACCCCGATGCCATGATATAAGAGGTTTGACTCTTTTATGATGAGTAATGTATATTTGAGGAGTACTTATAATAGTTGTGTTTATTTTTGCAAGTTAGTTAACGGTACTCGTATTTATCTATTGGTGTATGTTGATAATATACTTATTGCTGCCAAGAATATGTCCGAAATTCACTCTCTGAAGTTGCAGCTTAGTAGTAAATTTGAAATAAAGGATTTGGGAGCAACAAAGGAAATTCTTGGCATGGGAATTCTTGGAGCGTTTTGGCATGAATAATGCCAAACCAGTGAGTGTCCCTTTTACTAATCACTTTCGATTATCAGCTGCTCAGTCACCACAATCAGTTGAAGATGAAGAAGAAATGATGCGGGTTCCTTATTCAAATGCAGTGGGCAGTCTTATGTACGCATTGGTATGCACCCATCTAGATATTTCGCAAGTAATCAATATTGTCAGTAGGTATATGTCTTGTCCTGGAAGATGATGCGGTCTTATATATTTACACTTGACCCTTCGTAGGTATATATCTCATCAATGGTATGCACCCTTCGCAATGAAATTAAGCTAAATTATTAACCACAAGCCAGTGAGATATCATTGAAACGCTAACAATACGAGTACTAAAGCAGCAAAATTTGTATATGTAAAAGGTAAAACGAGACTCAGGATATAGGGTTCAAAACAACAACACTCAAGATATTTCTACCTATTTATTTGATTGTTTATCCATTCTAGAACTAATATTGCAGGTGTGAAATTGTTATAGTTGTGCTCTGTTTTGCTCTAAGTTCTGAAAAACCCTAGGTTATTATAAAGCCATCATGATAGATCCAAGCGAGAAGAAAGAAAGTGTGAATGAGGAGTTTGAGAGAGTTGAAGCGAAATTTAATGGTTCATTCCACATGTAATACTTTGCATCATTTTTCAACATGTTCTTCTTGACTTTTATCATTGTGGATGAAATGATCACTGGCAGTATCTCACCATCTCTCAAATGAGCATATTTCAAGTGATTCGGCACCGACTTAAATGATGGATGATTGTAAGAGCACATTGATCTTTCTTGCGTAGCTTCTATAATTTGTTCATCTAATTTTGATTCAAAGCTCTTTCATTCTCTGGAATCGTGTAGCCATTTTCAACACTCTCCTAAACACTATGTCCACCAAGTATGGCTTTCATACGAAGTGCCCAATTATCAAAGTTGTGTTTGGTGAGTTAAGGGTATTGGAAGGAGAGACCATTTGAATTCGTTGACATATTACTCACAAACATGATATGGCTCCGATACCACTTTGTTGGAATAAGAAAGAAGAACACTAAGAGAAAACAAAAAAAAGTACAAGAAGATTTCTTTGGTGGAGATGAGAGGTAATTAGAAGAAAAGACACTTGATTGGTAAAAATGATTTGCAAATTACAACTATTTATATAATATAAACTCTACCTACCAATACCAATATTAATTCTACCTACTAACATAGAAAATTATAAAATAAACTTTGTTCAATGCATATTTGGTAGACCACCTACTCTTGCACCAACCCTCACCAACTATCAATTGAAAATAATAAAATTTGGTGAGTTTTATTTGTTAAATCAAGTTTACTTCTCAATATTGCCCCAGAGTAACTTTAAATTTATGAACACTTCACTTCATCCTAAATTGCTTTCCAGATTTTACAAAGATAGGGTATTTGTAATGCAATGCACACAAGCATTGTTTATCATCATTGATAGTCATTTTTTAAAAAATAAAAAAGTAAAGTACAAATTTTATATATCATAAAAGAGGCTTACAAGCAAAGGTCACAATCCTTACATAAAATACACAACTTAGAACTTAGGAACCTAAGAAAATAAGAGATCATCGTGTAACAATAGCTAGTTCAAATACTCCAAGAAACTTCTGCCACCTCAGCTAGCCAAAATCATGTAGAGCTGCCAGCCCAAATACTTGGGGTGTGTTTGTTTGGGGGTTTGAATTTTGAGTTGGGATTTGAATAGTAAAAATTTTGAATTTGAATAGTTATATGATGTGATATAAATAGGTGTTGATGTGATGTTTTGAATGTAAAATTGATTTTTAGTATAATATAAAAAATAAAAAATAGGTGTTTGATTTGATGTTTTTGGGGGGAAAAAATTGGATGAATGGTAAAAATCTAATTAAATCTCCCAAACAAACACACCCCAAGTAGTTTCTAACACTTTAATAATATATTAAAGAAAATATTTTGAGTAAAATTATATGTATGTATATATAATTTTTAAAGAGAGGTTAAAGTTAACTCAAGAATTAATAAGGATAAAAACACAAGTGAAATATTTGACCGAAATTCAACTTTTGTGCAAGAGTGTTTTATTGAAAACAGAAGAGAAATGGAAAAGAAGGAGCACATAGAAATGGAATGGAAAATCCTGAGACAGTTGTCCAAGCAGAGCAGCATGAGAGAATTTGCACATGAAGACGTTACCGCCTTCCACCATTTGCCCCTGCTTTGAGCGTTCGCTACACTTCACTCGTTTCTTCGCATTTTCTCTTCCTTGAGGAGAGAATGCTGATAATTTGTAATTTTTCTTCTGTAATTTCGAGTTCTTGTTTTGTCTTTTATGAATCAATGCTGCTGTTGGGCGATGATTTGATTGAATTGTTTCTGTTTCTATTCACGTTTAGATTGGAGGATGAAATTGAAGTTGGGGGTTTTGAAATGGTAGTTTTTTTAGGCGATAGGATAGACTTTCATGGGTTAATAGATAATCGATCTATTTTGACTTACTTAATTAGCTTAGAAATTTCTAATTTCAACCACGGATGTGTTTCACAAATTCTAGAAAGCGAGAGGGAGTTAAGATAAGAGTCAGGGTTTTTTTGTTGTTAGGGTTATTTCAATTTTTTTGGTGTATATGATTTTTGTGAAGATCAAACTACATTTTATCATGCAGTTTTGCTCTGTTTTTCATCATTAGTTCATACTGATGCTTTGGGTTGTGGGTGAACCTCTCAAATTGTGTCTTACAATTTTGAGAATTTCAATCCTTTATCTTATTATAACTGTGTAAGTTTAACTTTGGCATTTTGTATGCACCACCATTTCTTTTCCCCAATGCAGGGTGGCTTAGATATCTATGTGTGCCTTGAGGTAGATGCTTGGAATTAAATTCAGTTGATCTGTCAGGAAGAATGTTGGTAAGATTCACTATTTGGCTTAAAAGTTGTTTTCCTATTCGGGATTGTGAACTGCATATTCTTGGGAGATTGTGGTGATTGTTGGGTAAAAGCTTTTTTTGTCTGCTTATATCCTCTCGTGCAATAAAAGCACAAGATTTTCGATTGCTTTAGCACAAGCTAGTATAACTGTATTTTTGTATCTTTCGTTTTCTCTTCATGAATATGGCGCGACTAGTGTTCATATATTATGTTAAATACAATGCAGATCACTTTCTGTGTTGGAGTTAGTATTGATCAATGTATTTCGTATTTAAGATTCCATGTGTCCATTGTAGTTATTATTTAAATGCATATGGAGTCTATAGAACTTTTTATTTCTTCCCTTGTTGGTTCACGAAATGATGCCCTTAAGTCTCTTTTTGGATTTATTAGTTGATTATTGAAGTATTTTTCATGGTGATTATTTTATTTGTTTTTGAAATTTAGCTAAATTTACAAACATAGATAAAATATATCTTTAATTGACACTTGTCTTTTTCCGGTTCGTTTTCTCTTCAACATCAATAGTAGGAATATAAGTTTTAAAATTGAAACTAAATGAACTCTCCTTACCCACGTATATACCTATGAAAAGCTTTCATACTATCATTCAAATATTTCATCAGATCATCCCATCTTCTACGCCGCTGGGCATCCTGTCCTAAAAGCTTCATTCAGATGCAACCATTGTCTGTTATACATTGCGGGTGTAGTGTAGTTTTCAAATGGTGCTTTGTTTTGGTATCCCTGCATTAATAAAACATGTTGGGTTTTCTTCATATTCCAGCAAAAATTCTTTCATCTTCAAAGGCCTAGATATGGGGGCCATTAAAGCGATGTCATTATCAGAATTGAATACCAACTATATAGAAGTAGCTATACAGCATTTTCCAGATGGAAGGTGCTGCTGCCTGTGTACACATTTTGAAGATTTTTTTTCTGCCAAAGGTAATTGTGAGTCGTATTATGAAAGTGATGTCTCTATATTTTACTTTCCTCCTTTGTAAATCACATGATATGCTTTATATACAACATTGTATTATTCTATTCTTCTATGCTTGTATGTTTTCCAAATATCTGCATGGATAGGAGTTTGCCACGTATCATTGCGAAAACTTGTCTTTTCTTACACGTTGCACTTCTTTGTTTGACATACAGTAATTAGCATTCTATTTATTGCAATTGTGGATATAAGTAACCCCTTTTATTCTTGGCCAATGAAATGGGATGCAATTAATTGGAAGTACTTCAATTGTCGAAAAGTACCAACTAAAATAACGATCATATCAAAACTCATTTAACTACTCTTTGTTTGGTTCAATAAAGTCAAAATAAACTTCCAAATATCTACTAGTAAATATTGATAAATTATTTGTCTAATTTATAGGCATATATTATGTATGTTCATGGTGCAAACGTAATGTGTTTATTTAAAGTTCCCATAGTACCGATGCAAAGATTTGGTATATATATTATGTCCTCTGGCTCTACTTTCACGAGCTAAGAAATGTTTTAGGGATGGTTAGAGTATTGATTAGCCCTAATTATTACATAGTAATGTATACATATCACATGGCTAAAATAAATATTATTACTATGTCTTGTCAATCAGTCATATGTATGATGCTATGTTAACATGTGATATGTGCTAAAATCAATAATGGTATGAGTATTTATAATACGTTAATAATATGCATTACTGTGGTGCGAACAATTATAACATGGACTGTATGCTATATATGGTTAATCAATTCCGCATTGATTAACTCTAATTAGCATCGTAACTGTTGTCATTTTAAATGCATAAAAAAAATAATAATAAACATCTGAAGTGGTTCTAAGAAGTACCATATTCTCTCACTTCTCCCATGTGTTTGTAGGAATGTCTTGCGCCAACAGGTTTTCGCAAGTTGAACGGCTGGATAAACTGGGACTGAATGTCTGCTATATAAAATAGGTGAGTTCCATAAACTTGTTGTGACTGACTGATGAATGATCCTCCTCAATGGTTGGACGAGAGTTTCAATATCCAATGCTTCACCATATTCAGTGTATGCTGTCTTAAGCCATCCACAAAGATCTTACATGAGGTAAATGTTGTTTAGTTGCCATTGCCGAAAAAGTATTCCAGTTCCTATCAACTGGCTATGAAAATATATATGATTGAGTAATATGTTGCTATCAGCTTATTCGCTATCATCCGATATATTGTCTTTCAAATTTTGTGGCCTCTAATACTAAAATGTATGCGATGGCGCATTTAAAGTAATTCAATCCAGATTACTTACTGCTCCCTATATATGCTTCCATTCTTGATTCAGAGTGAGATGTCAAATGTTATCTAGCTAGGTCAGTGTTGTCGAGTTGTTTTTATCAAGTTTCGCTCAGCATTAATTACACTATTGGATGCCTGAATCCTACGATTGGTGTACATTAATTCCCACAAAGATCAACTAGTACTTTTTATTCCTCCGAATGCAAAGCATAGATGATTGAAGACAGTATTGCCTATAGATAATTTCCCATGAAGCTGGTTTATGAAAACCCTAAGTTTTACAGGTTCATTGGAAGGTTTGTAGGTTTCATTAAATCCCTCGATCTTGTTAATCTTCTCAGCCAATGTAGAATGATATCTGCGTTTTGCTAGCTCGCTTCACCATCTTGCTGTAATCACGTACCAAGGCATTAGTATTATATATATATATGTGTGTACGGAGTTATACAACTATAAATAGGACCTGTATTCTCATTTTCATCAGTGAACTGGTGTTTCTTTTTCTTAAAGAATTGTCCAAATAAAAAAAGGAGAATCAAAGCCCAATTCGAAACTCTAATTTGTGTGCAGTAAGAGAAAGGTGTGCTGCCCTAAACAAAGAAATACAGTTGAGGCCGGGCGGCGCAATAATTATTTCATCTATCCTCCATATAAATTAAAAAATTGCAAAAAATTGATAAAATATTTATGTGAAAATTTAAATTATGAATAATAAAAAAAATTTATATCATAATAATTTTTTGATAATATAAAAATAGATATGAAAAAAAAGTAATAAATAATAATTAAAAAAATTTTCAAAAATTTCTCAACCAAATACACAGAAAATGATATTTTTAACAGCTTTTTTTTTTAATAAATGTTTTTATTATTTATCAATTTCATGTAATACAAATTTCATCTTGTAATATGCAGTTGTCAATGTAGATTGATATTTTGCAAGATTTTCGAAATATGATAACTCTATTGATAAAATTATTGAATAACAAATAGATGATATGATCGTTTCAAAATTTTAAAAATTAGCCCCCCCTTTTATGGTTTGGCTCCGCCTCTGCTTGTATCCATTACCACTCTTCACACACTCAAACCCATTTCTTAGTTTGTATCGCCGTTCCAATACCGCTGCTGCAGGTAACAGGTCTGCCTACAGACTTTATCAATATCTATATATATACCAACGCTTCTCATATGTGAGGAAGTCAGTTTGGAGTTTCTTTTCTTTCTGTAAAAGTTTTTGTTTCATTGCAGAATTGTTGATTGTCATCTTGTAGATCCCTTGAGTTGCGCTTTCATTCTTCGGCTCCTTACTTTGTACATTTGAAGGTAATATATGGTTCCATGTCCTGGAGCTGATCTCCACTTCCTTCTTTACTCTGTCCTTTCTCTTTTCACCATTTGGACTTTCTTTTCATGTAAAGCAAAACTAGGGTTTTGATATATAAGTTTGTGGATTTTTAAAATATATTTTATTATTATTTTTTCATCAATCTAGGTCTTTTTCAAGGAAAGTAAACCTAAGCATTTTCATTTTTTGATTGATGGTCTTTTTAAATGATTTTCTAATTAAAAAGTTTAGAATACTCAAATCTGGTTTCTAAATAGTCGATCTTATGGAAACATATTATCTTGAAACAAGAGATAGTTTGTTATTCACAAATGGCTAAAGTTGCATATACACCATGTTTTATTGTTCCTTCATTGAGTATAAAAAAAAAAATGTTTTATTAGATGCAAATGTGACAAAAGCTACGGTTTCGAGATGATAGAAGCAGAAAATGAAGTTGTATAGAAAAGCAGAAGTTGGTGTTACAAGTTCTAATCTTTATACGACATACAAAGGTCCCGAGGAAAAGAAATAAGCTTCATCCCTGTGGAGAGCATCAAAAACACCTCAGGCACGAAGCAGACATCTGCTGGAGTATTTCAAGAGAATCATGTGCCAAGGGAGAGAGCTCTCGTGACAGTGGTGGAGCCGGATGATTGGGAGGACGATGCTGCGGAAATCTCCCCACAGCTAGGATCATCAAAGACATCACCTAAACTATAATATTTGTTTGAGTTTTGTATTTAAATAATATTTTATGTAATATTTTGTGAGAAAAAAAATATTCTTTATATTGATGAAAAGACACTCAATCCTTAATTTTGTCGAAAATATTTGTAAATATCAATTTTGATCAATAGTAAGATATAAAAGTCTTTCTATCTCATGCATACAAGTAATTTATGTTTTCACTTTACCCTTCTCTCATTCTTACTTTCTTTATTAATGTAAATGAATACATAATTTACTTTCTTAGGACACGATCAAGTGCCCTAGGTAGCTTCAAATATATGAGCACCTTACCTCGTCCTGAATTGTTTTTCAGATTTTACAAAGACAGGGCATTGTGATGCAATCCACACAAGCATTGTTTGTCATCATTGACTGTAATTTAAATATATACATATATATATATATATCATAAAAGATGATTACCAACAAAGGCCACAAATCTTACATAAAATACACAACTAAGAATTTAAAAACCTAAGAAAATGAGATGTCCAAATCATGTAGAGCCGCCATCCCAAATACTTCAAATAGCTTCACCACATGAGCAGCAGAACCAAAGACAACTACAGAAAGACTAGACCATACGAAAAATCATCAAACCCTCACACCAACTATTGACCTTCTTCAAGATCTACAATATTTTTTGGTCACACTCCGAGTGCAAGGCCGAAAGGAAGAAGGAAATTTGGCCTTGACAAAAGGGTGCTTTTGAATTAAAAAGAAGTAATGGAAGAAGAGAATATTTCACCGGTATATTTTTTGAAAGAGAATGGTCAAGGGATCTTCTCTGTGGCACTACATTGACAATTAGTTATATTAACACAATCATGCAAGTGGCCATCAGTTATATTGCTTAAAACATGTATCCCTCTAGAAGAATCACCATCGATCAGTAGGCAAAAATTCCCACACGCAGGATAACATCATGCTTGATTTTTCAGAACCCGATAATGTAATAGATTCTTTTTAGGGTTGTAGGTTTCATCAATCATACATTAATTTTCTCATACTGCAAATAAGAATACTTTAACATCTCACAAAAGTACAACTATTATTTGGACCTGTTAATTAATTTTGTTTCTATCACCAATCCCTACCAATCCCCACCCACTGTCTTTGGAAACAATAAAAGTTGGTTATTTTATTTCTTAAATCAAGTTTAATTCTCAATAATTTCTTATATTATTAGGATGCCTTGATGATGGAATGGAAAAAATGAGTTTGAAAAGATCTGAGCATCGATAGAAGATTTCTTAAAATCCAGTGCATTTTGTGTCTTGCAGAAAGAACCAGATATTAACAGATTGGTATCAGAGCCAATATGAGTTCCAGCAATCCGATAAAGATGATGATTCCACGGCTAACAAAATCAAATTATGAGAATTGAAGTATTCAGATGCATGTATTGTTTGGAGTGGGAAGTGGTCGAATCTGGTTATGAAGAATCAGAAAGAGTTGATGGGTTCACGGACAAATCAACTAAAGGTATTAAGAGAAACACGCATGAAGGACAAGATTGCTCTTCATTTTCTATTTCAAGCTCTCGATGAATCTGACTTTGAAAATATTTCTGATGCGAAATCTTCCAAAGAGGTATGGGCCAAGCTAGAAAAATGTTTTAAAGGGGCCGATATGGTGAAACAAGTGTGTCTCAAAAGCCTTCGCAATGAGTTCAAAAGCACGACGATGAAGGAATAAGAAAGTGCGTCCGAATACATAATCCGGGTGCAAACTGTGGCAAATCATCTTAGGAGAAATGGTGAGATGCTGGATGATACTCGATTGGTGGATAAAATACTACGATCCCTCACGGATAAATTCGACAACATTGTGTGTGCAATTCAAGAGTCAAAGGACATTGCAACCTTGACATTAGATGAGCTTTCAGGGTCTCTTGAAGCTCATGAGCAGTGGAAAAATAAAAGAAGTGATGAGACACTCGAGGAAGCCCTCAAAACAATAACATCTTTTAAAGATGATAAGGCGTTGTTGTCTTCTCAATCTCGTGGACAAGTACGTGTTTGGAGTGGTCGCAGCACTAGAGGCCATGGTTCAGGAAGATATCAAGAAGAAAATGAACAATCCAACTCACAAAACTAGAGAGGCCGGGGACGTGGTAGAGGATACAAGACAGTCGAATGCCATAAATATAGAAAGCATGACCATTTTGCGAGAAATTGCAATACTAATAAGTGCCATAACTGTGAGAAAGCTGGGCACTATGCGAGAGACTGTTGGAGCAAGAAAAAGGTGGAAGAGAAGACAAATCTTACAATTGAATATAAGAACGAGGAGAATAAAGGAATCCACATGATGGTGCAAAATAACTCCAACGACGACAATGGCATGATATGGTATCTAGACACGGGTGCAAGCAATCACAGGTGTGGCCTGAAACACCTATTTAAAAATTTGAGAGAAGCTAAAGGTGGCTAAGTATCTTTTGGAGATGCATAAAAAAATTCGAGTTGAAGGGCAAGATACAATTTGTTTCATGCAAAACGATGATTTGGTAGGACCAATTGAAGATGTTTATTATGTGGCGGATTTAAAGAGTAACATTTTGAGCGTGGGTCAACTTATGGAGAAAGTTTATTCAGTGTTCATGAAGGGGCGGATGTTGTGTCTCAATGACAAGCAAGGACAACAAGTGGCTCATGTTGAAATAGGTAAAAACATGATGTACAAACATAACTTGTAGGTGGCACAAGGAAAATGCTTGAATGTAGATGTTGGTAAGAAAGCAACTTTGTGGCATTTCAGATTCAGCCATTTACATTATGGAGGATTGAAAACCTTGGCAAAGAAAAACATAGTACTGTTGGGAGTTATTCTGATTATGTATTTGGTAGATTATATAATTAGTTATATATTATTATTTGTCATTATTTATTCCATTAATTTCCTAGGTAGTTATGTGTATTTAGAATTCAAATTTAAAATTGTGTCTGTCAGTCTAGAAAGGTCGTGTCTATTAGAATTATAAGATTGTATGCATTGGACTTGTAGGATGTAAAAAAGATATACACATGGTGTATCCGTCTG